CCTGTCAGTCATTAAGCAAACCCATTTTAGACAAGGGAGGTTTTATGTAGACTAAATGTCAGTTTACCAGGACTAAATGTCGGTTTACAGCAAAAAAAAAAAAAAAAAGGTAAATTGCAGCCATGTGACAGCAGGACACTGCAGACAGCATTAAGTGACTGGCCATAAATCGATAACTTAATCAGTGTTTTAATTGCAGTTACAGATGGTGGGGTTTTTTTTTCTATTGCTTTTTAGTCTACTGTTTAGAATTGCCTTGGCTGAAGCAGTGTTATAAACATATACTGATAGTAAATACTGTATATTTGATCTGTAAGTCATAGAACAAAGAAAAGCCTCTAGCCAGGCTGAAAGATAGATTTGTCCACACTAGTTTTAAAAACTTGGCTGGCATTAGCCGTGATTAGAATTGATCCTGATATAAGGTCTGAATAGCGCGTCACTGACAGCCATCCTTATGACAGCAATTTCCATCAGTTAGTTGCGATAAACATGAATTCATGTCACACCTTAGGCATGAAAGCCAGCTGGATGACTTTGGGCCAATCACCAGGCAACTGTGAGTTCTAGTCCCGCCTTGCACATGAAAGCTGGCTGGGTGACTTTGTGCTTCTCTCTTAGCTCAACCGATCATACAGGGTTGTTGTAGGGAAAATAGCAGGAGGAAGAAGGATTAAGTATGTTCACTGCCTTAAGTTATTTGTAAAAATAATAAAGGCTGGATAGAAAAATGAGGTAAAAAAATAAAATAAAAATAATATTCTCACTGTTCTGGACCCATCACTTTTGTGTTACTTTAGCTGCTGTCGAATCTGTTCCACCTGTTGATGGGAAGAGAGAAATCTAAACCACAAGATATGAAGGGAATGTGAGTATTGTATTTCTCTTCCCAAGCTTGTTTTTACACCTGCCAATATGCTGTCCTGGATGGATTTCCAGGAAATTTGGAGAGTGACACAGACAGGTCATCTTACAAATTCCTCCCAGTTTTTATTTGGAAAAAAAAATGCGGTTCCATCTGAAATACGAGCTGGCAAGCAGGTGCAAGCAAACAGGAAAATGACAGTTAAACAGAGATCAGAATGTCCTGAGGGAGACCAGGGTTTTACCTTATCTTCTCTTAATTTTTATAGACCACCAATCGAATGATCAGACATGCAACAGAGCAACTGGCCTGTTTTAACCATGGTTTGTTTAATTAACCGCAAGTGTCTAAGTCCAAGTTGTTCGACCTCAGCCACTTTAAGATGTGTGGACTTCAACTCCCAGAATTCTGCAGAGAGCTTGCTGGGAGTTGAATTCTGGGAATTGAAATCCACACATCCTAATATTGCTAAGGCTGAGAAACAATAGGGATCCAGCAGGTCACATATAACAGGATATTGCAAGCAATGATTTGCAAGTCCCTGGGTTCGCACATGACTCTAAGGCAACATATGATTTTGCACTTCTACTTGAGCATGACATATGATCAATTGATCAGAGGAGAGGAAGAAGTCCAACATGCAGTTATGTTTTTCCTCCTCTTCGACTTACAACTGGCTGCTTAGTAACCGTTCAAAGTTCTCACTCATCTATCTTGGGGGCTACCTACAATCTGGTCCTGAAGTTCTGACACTCACGCCCCTCTGCAGCCACATGGCCAAAGTTCAAAACCTCAAATCACCGTGTGGAGCATACCCACAGTCACATGATTGTGCTCTACAACAATTTTGTCAAAAACCAACATTTCTGATTTTCAGCAGAACTGTGACCACGCTGAGTCACTGGTTTTGCTTGCTGTATTTGTTTAACAATGGGTAAGGTCACCTAAGGACTGCCACAAACAAGGTTGTAAAACTGGGTCATCATATGACTGACCCACTTTATGACAACCACAATATATGACTGCAGTATGCAGACTCCATTATGAGCATAAGTTGAGGACTACCCGTATTCTGGTCATTGGAAGCACATTCCACCTCCAGAATTGGAAGCATCTTCCTACCTCCAGAAATAATAAAATAAAAATCATGCATAAGTGCATTTATACTACTGGATTTTTATTTTATATTAAACACAAGTCTTCGTATGGGCATTTTGCCATATTCCATAAGTCTATTAAAATAGCACTGACCTGCCAAGTCAGAAGCAAAATCTAAATCTTTGAGGCAAGTTAAAATACATTTGTGAAGTCTTTTTAATTCAGTACAGGTAGTTTTTGACTTATGACCACAATTGAGCCTTGAATTTATGTTGCTAAATGGGAAATTTGTTAAGTGAGTTTTGCCCCATTTTACGACTTTTCTTGCCCCATTTGTTAAGTGTGAACCATTGTAGTTGTTAAATTAGTAACATGGTTGTTAAGTGAATCTGGCTTCCTTGTTGACTTTGCTTTATTACTAGGTGGCAAATGACCCCAGGACACTGCAACATGACCCCAGGACACTGCAACCGTCATAAATACCTACCAGTTGCCAAGTGTCTAAATTTTGATCCCATGACAATGCAAATGCTGCAATGGTCATAAGTGTGAAAAACGGCCATGTGACTTTTTCCAGTGTCGTATCTTTGAACAATCACCAAATGCACTGTTGTAAGTCGAGGACTACCTGTATAGAGGGTTTTTCTCCTTTTTTCCCCCACTATCAAAAGGAAAGAATTCTGCGAGATGTTCCAAATACACAATGCTGAAGGACTTCAACACTTACCAAGATCATCTTTAAAATGATGAACTAAAAACACCTACAAAACTCACAAGGCTGGCTGAGGACTTCCTTTGGTATTCTGCATAAATGAACTTAGTGGTGTCTCTATCGTGGCTTTCATGCAACTGATTAAGCCACCATGAACAGATCATCTCCTGCTTTATCTGAATACAACACGCAAAGGATGCCCAACGCTTTTAGAAACGATATCAAAGCACGGGAGGAAAAGATGCAGACAAAGTTGCTAATTCCAGATACAACACGGCTCCCTCCAGGCTGAGGACAATGAATTTCCAGCAAAGACATCATTAAGCATTCAGGAGTCAGCTTAAAAAGACAAAAACGGAAGGCTTTTGGATACCTATTCTGATGAGCTCACACAGTTAAGTGAGTTCGGAAATCGATGAAACTGGAGGGACAAGCTGTCTTAATTTACACTGCAGCCAAGGCCTGTGGCTGTTAAGTTGATAAACTGTTGTGATTAAAAATGAAAGAAAGGCAATTTTAAAAAAATGTGCTCGATTATGAGGAATCTGTAGAAGAACTCTGTCATAAATCTGAAATGTACAAAGCTGGTTTTGATGGGGAATGGAGGGAGGGAGGGGAGAGAGAGAAAGAAGAGAGGGAGGGAAAGAAAGAGGAGGAGGAGGAAGGGAGAAGAGGGAGATAGGAAAAGAAAAGGGGGGAAAAGGGGAAATAAGAGGGAGGCAGGGAGGAAAGGAAGGAAGGAAGGAAGACCCCACCCAAAAGGAAACTTCTGACTGGGAAAAGTTAGTCCTCAAGTCAGAAGCACTAAAGCACTATTCACACATTCAGTTAAATCACCAAATGTTTGCTGAATAAACCACAGTGGGTATGGCACAAACATACAATAAACCCTAGATCATGAAAGTTCACCAGTACTTCCAGCCATTAGCAAAGGCAAGATTCGAATCCAGGATTCTAACATCAGACTCCATGTTCCCCCCCACCCCTCAGCTTACCTTCCCCTCCCTTCAGAGAGGAGATAATCAAAATCTCAACTTCTGCCCTCCATCAAGACCATTTTTCACCTGAGTTGTGGTTTTGCTCAAGCATCCTGCTTCCACACAGCCAAACACACAGCAGGGCTCCCTTCTCTAACAAACATTGTTTAAATCAGTGGCCCCCAACCTTTTTTGTGCCACGGCCCGGTACCGGCATCACAAAATGATCCGCGGCCCGGTACCGGCATCAGCACGCATGACAAGGCAAGGCGAGCCAAGCGACCGGCCGGCCAGCCGTCCCCCGCTTCTCCCCGCCACCTTCAACTCCTCCTTTGTACCTTTGTCGATGGGCTGACGGCTTTGGGACGGTCGCTCGGCTCGCCTTGCCTTGGGTGCTGAAAGAATCCTCGCGCCTTAGTTTTGTTCGAAGCCGCCCCCCCCACTTCGATGAAACTAAGGCGCGAGGATTCCTTCAGGACCCAAACGCCGCTTTCCAACCGGAAAAGCTCACCCGGAAGCACTTTCTCATCGAAACAAGATGGTGGCGCCCAGCAAACCGGCGGCCCGGTAGAAAATGTTCCACGGACCGGTCCCGGTCCGGGGACCGGTGGTTGGGGACCCCTGGTTTAAATGACAGAGCGAGAGAGAGAAAGGCCTAGAAACTATGAGGCTCTGTTAGAAACAGAGCGTTTTGTGTGGCCTGGAAATTACTACAGCATCAACTAAGGAGTGCAGTGCAGTGTTCCACGCCAGCCAAAGAAAACACATGAGTGCATTAAATCCTTCAACCTGTTCCAAATTCACCAAGGGGAAACTGAGGCAGAAACGGGCTATAGGAAAAGGGGGAAACAAACAATCTGCAGCAAACGTGTTTCTCTAGGATCAGCGGTGGAGGAACTATGGCTCCTTCATGACCTCTGGACTTCAATTCCCAGAATTCCTGAGAGTTATGAGAATGGCTGGCTCAGGAATTCTGGGAGTTAAAGTCCACAACACATAAAG